CAGTTTTCCCAATAATTTTGACGTTCATGATGCGTCATAGTTAACGGTCATTTGCGCGCGCTTTATCTTTCAGAGATTTAGTGAAAGAATAAGAGATAAATGAGGTCCGAAATCTTAAACAGCGAGTGACATAATGGTCACATGATAAGTCAGAATAACTGAAAATACTCTTTAGGAAAGGTGCAAAGAAAAGTGGTGATACTAGACGCCTACCTTAATTATCATTTTACGTCTCCGAATTATTTCACAAATGGCTCGTAGTTGCTTGTGGCCGGAAAGATAAAAAAAACTCACACATAAGAATTAAAAAAGACATCCAGTTAGTTGGATGCTTTTTCATTCTCATCATCGCCTGATATTTTTTGAGCAAGGAGTTTATAGCTCTACTGGGCGTTTTCGATAATCATAATTACATAATTACGCTCGCATATGTGAGCACTCCACATGAAATCGGAAATCTTTCCAGTCTGAGCAGTTGTTATGGTTACGCGCGGTAAACATATTGCAATCGTCACGATGTCGTGTCATATTCAAGTACGTAATGAAGAAAAGCGAGCAACCTGGGTCGGAGTTAAGAAGTTTGCACGCTAGAATTCAATTTGCTTTGCTTACAACGAAATATTTTCTTTTTTCATCCTTTGTTGAAGCCATTCCAATCATACGGATGAATAAACGCTGAAATTTCAAAAATGAGTTCATGTGTAAGAACAAGTGCGTATGATTTTCTTTTCAAATCTGCCACAGCCTTTTTACACAAAAATCATTATACTTGATTTGACTGTTATGGTGATATTATACGGCACCGTATTACCCATTATCAACTATCACCGGGCTTGGGGTACCAAAGAAAAATTCCCTATCGGAGGCCTCTCCCCCCTCTCCCTGAGGCCTTTTTTTCTCTCTTCTCAGTACCCCTCTGCTTTTTTTAACACAAGCGGGAATGATTGTGATATAACCACCTGTGTGTAACTTTCAGGCCTTGGTTCTGGAGGATCTAAATTATGTCGCGAGGAGATATAAAAGTGGAAGGTACGCTATAGACCAATCTGTGACAAATCAATACTTAAAGGTAAGGTTGCCTTATGCAAAGAACATAGAGCCAGTTGTAGTGATGACATCTGTAAAGAAAATACAATATATAAAGTTTAGTTATTAAAGATTACTAAATTGTTTTGAAATTGGTTAGATTATCAGTCCTTGATAGATCCTAACTGATCGAAATAGTGACCGATCAAATTGTTTCGTCATGTAAGATGCAGCTGAATTAACTTTAACATTTACAGGCACTGGTGATGACAGACAGTTAACAAAGTTGACATGAAAAAGGTATAAAACTAAATATATTTTATTTTTTGGGGGGCATTTAAGTTTTGCAAAGGCTGTAGCAATTGCAAGATATCTTTGTTTTGAGAAGTTGCAACTTCTGTCCTACATTTTAGTCAAATGCGAATATATATACATATGCGCGTGTTTTACTGAAAGGAAAATATTTGTTGCCTAAGGAAAAGAGATGTCAATTTACCTTAAAGGAGAACAGCATTATTCTTCACTGGCCACTTGAGCTTTCCTGAATACCAGCATACAATTACCGTTGAGGAGTACCTTGGGAACCTACATCCAGGGTTTTAGATGAGGGTGCTTTTAAGAGAATGGGCACTTTCAAAAAGGGGGCCCAGCATAATTTTAACCTTGTCATTAAGCTATTTCTTGTATTCTAAATTTTTTTTAAGTGGGAAGGGGAAGGAGAGGGTTCATGAAGAACTTTGGGCTCCTGATGAGGGCAGGGGTTTGTTGGAGTAGGGTTCTTATCTTAAAGCCATAGATAATCGGCCCTGTACTTTGTTTTTTTGTGCGTGTCTGTGTTTAGATCTCTTCTTCAGACAATGATTATGGTAGTACAGCATCCCATGGGGCACCAACCTCTCCTTTAGTTCAAACTGAGACTGAGGATAGTCCAACACATGTCATTACTCAAAACCAGAAAGGTGAGCTCAGTATAGTTCTTTTTTCCGAGAGGACACTTCTGGCTCATCCAGGAGGCTTTGACATACTATTCCTTCAAAACACTGAAAATATATTATTTGAAAAATACCTCAGTGATAGAATTCACTCTGTCACTTTTACAGGATCGTAATATTATTTTACACTCTCTTTGGAGGGTAATAACCAGTCCCTGTTCGTGAGTTTGATGACCGAGATGACTCGCGTAACAACAGCATCGTCCAAATTTACCTAAGACAATGTTGGATATGCAACCAGAGCCAAATATTCTGGAACCGAAACTTAAATCTGCATTAGTACGTTCAGACCCGCGAAATGAAAAGACCTGTACCCTCTTAACCTGCAGGTCAACTCATCTCGCGGGTCTTCTCGTCCTGCTGTTGCTCCTAATCCGTAAGTCTTCTAATCCCGCAGGCTTTCTCACACTACAGGTTTTCTCATCCCGCACGTCTTCCCATCCTCCCGACCAAATGATCTCAACAGCTTGCACAGAACTCTTAAATAAAGCAAATGTTTAATACTAAAAGTACGCTGAATCCATTGATGGGAAAGGTGTCAAATGGTTGAGGCGTGGGTCAGTGTGCTGAACTCTGGGTCGGACGGCCCGAGTTCAAGTCCTGGCTGGGGCATGACGTTGTGTCCTTAAGCAAGACGCTTCACTCACACTGCTTCGTCTTCTCGGATAAGACGTAAAACCGTAGGCCCCGTCTCCTGCAGGGCTGGGGTAGGAGACGTTAATTTCCCACGCACGAGATTACTGTGTGGTGGATGTCCTCCCCTGGGGTGGGATGGGTGGTGGGTATGGGTGTATTAACCAGGTAGGGGACTTATGTCCTATTGTTATGCACCTGTACTTGTACTTGTACGAATCCATTAAATATATAAATGATAAAGCTTGTAAGTAACATGAGTGTTAAAATAAAAAGCGTTGTTCTAAAAAGTAAGGTGTCTCACTTCGACAGAAGAATTACCAATATAAAGATCGGGTTGTTAGGGAGGAATTATTCGAAATCATCGCCTAAGTTTTCGTGCAATCGACTGTCAAATGATTGGAAACGAACCAAGAAGACAGTTAATGCAGATCTTAGGTAAGAGTTAGTATCAAAGCTGTACTGTTGCTATATGAATTGTAGGTGGCAGTTTCGTAAGCGTAGAGTCGCAGAGAGCAGATATGAGCACTGAGATTTAGGTCTTTCTTAAGACAATACTGAATAGTTTGGTCCAAAAAGAATGCAAATCATTAATAATATATTCTGCTCTTTACCTCAACCCTTAAAGGCAATTTGCTAAACCAAGTTTATTCTCATGTCAATTTTTACTGCTAAAATATATTAACTGGTGCCAATTATTAGGGCAGAAGCAGTCGCCTTGTCAATACAAAGCCTCGATACAGGCTAAATATACTTCTGTCGTTTTACCCTATCGTAAAGTATTTTTTACACCGGGGTTTAACACTGTCCCACTGAAAACCAGGTGACAATATCCTCATCAACACCACGCGGTTTTAAGTAGGACAACTTACAATACGTTACTAATTATCAGTACATGATAATGATTTAAGGATTTATTATTAACTTTCATCGAGTGAGAATGTGATCGAAGTGATATCGCGATGCTTGAAATCAATGGTGATTCAGCTTAAAGTTTACTTCTTGATTGATTCTTTTCAAAAAAACTCTTTCAACCTCAAGCACTGTCTTCCAATACGGAAGACAAACTGTATGGCACGAGTGCATTTTTTTGTTTACGAGTAAAACTGCTGCTGTTTTTCATGAAATGGTAATTTCATCCAATAATTGTGACAGATATACCCATCTCGCTGATCTTTGCAATATTTTTAGAAACCTAAACATTTTAGTTTTGCATTAGAGAGGTGTCGCTATTGGAACCCTTGGCATAAGCTCCATCAACGACACCTCACTATGATCGTACATAAGGTTAGACGGTTGCATAAATAAGCTAAAAAGACGTCAACCAATGAGACGTTAAAGCCATTAACATAGAATTTGAAAGTGTTTCTGAAGGATAGCAGCTGTGAAATAGTTGTATCATGAAAGCTAAAGAGTGCATGAAGTGCAATTTCTGAGTAAAGTAAGCTGTGTTCCACTACGAGTGAAACATTTCGGACTATTTTGAAGTTTTTTCCTTTTTTT